CCGTGCTCATGAAGCCTCCCAAGCACGCGGGGGGGCAGCTCCAGCAGAACTATCCTCTCAAATAGGTGAGGGGTCCGTACCAGCATCAACAGCACCGGCAATATCAGCGGCACCAGAGGCCGCAACAGGGGCAGCAACACCGGCACAACTCGCAGCAGCAGCAGCGGAAGTAGCCGCCGCCGCGGGGGCGGCAGCGGAGAGACCAGCAGCAAGCGGAGGTCACGACCGCGGAGCGCGCCAACAAGGACGAGGAGGGGGGCTGAGCGGCCGTGGAGGAGGTAGAGAGGGGGGATGAGCGGCCGTGGGGGAGGTGGAGGAGGGGGGCGAGGGGCAGCAGCGCCAGGTCGTGGAGCAGGAGGAGGTGGGGCTGGAGGAGCCGCCGGTGGAGGGGCCGGCGATGATGATACTTCAACATTCAGTGCGCAGGAACGCTTCTTTCAAGAAGTGGAGGACAAGATAGACCAGAGTATCACCCACGAGGGAGGTGGTGTGAAAGGCCGGTTCCCGTTTGACAACCCGCTCGTGCGTCGGAAGTGTGCCACTTTTCAGCGATCACCAGGTACGCCAGAGGAGTTGTTTTTTTTTGGGGGGGGGTAAAATAGCTGCCTATCAACCTTTCTTTTCAGATTAAATCGTCCAGGGAAAATACATCCCATCCCCCGGTAGGCTATTTGTTTTGTCTCGCGTGCCTGATGTTCTGACATATCTACCTCACATTTGCGCGNATTGTTTTTTTTTGGGGGGGGGTAAATAGCTGATTATCTTTCTTTTCAGATTAAATCGTTCAGGGAAAATACATCCCATCCCCCGGTAGGCTATTTTTTTTGTCTCGCGTGCCTGATGTTCTGACATATCTACCTCACATTTACGCGCGCCCAGACCTACCGAAACTCGACCGGTTTTATCAGAAGGCGGTATTGGTATGGATACCGGAGTTCTTGTTCCCAGAGCTCTAGGCAGTTCCTTGTCCAGGATGTGGGGGCAAGGGCGCACCTGATGGCTGGAATCCTAAGGGGCCACGCCGGGTGTTCATGGAGCACGACGTGGCGTACGTGATGGGGTTTCGGTAAGTTCAGCATGCGAAGAAGAGTGTTCGCTCGATAAACTTCATCAGTCATGTTTTCGTGGCATCCGACGAATTCTGGGTTTCTGGTAGATTGGAGTTCGTGTTGTGGTTGTCCGACGATATTGCTCGTGGTGTATGTTTTCTCCCATGCACGTGCAGGTACAAGTGTGCGAAGTGCGCGGAGTTCAATAAAGGCAAGCAGGAGGCGGAAAAGCGCAAGACGAGCTTCAACGCGTGGGATGCTGGGTGCCTCCGGCGTCTCCCGGAGTACATCTCCAGGGAGTTCCCTTTCCTTCTCACCAAGCGATCGGGCATTGAGATTTGCATGGTGGACCGGCTTGCAGATGATTTGGTGCATGGGAAGGGC